GATCTCTGCGAGTTTGAGGCCAGCCTGGTCTACAGAGTGAGTTCCAGGACAGACACCAAAGCTACTCAGAGAAACCCTGTCTGGGAGGGGGGGGACAAAAAACAAACAAACAAACAAACAAACAAACACCCCAAAAAATAAAAAAAGAAAGAAACCAGGGATGGAGAGGATGAAGGAGGACAACAGAGAGGGAACCAGATGGTAAACATGCCAAATTTTCACACACATGAAAAAATACAGAGATAGTTAAAAATACAAGTACAAAAACATGCTGAGTGGTTGCTTAAATAAAAAACTACCAGTGGTTACAACCAGAGCAATGGTTTAAAAGTCAACAAACATTTGCTCATGTGACACAGAACTTCAGTTGCATGTTTAGATGTTTGAAATGGCCATTAGCACAGAGAGCCTGAAGAGGAGAACAAAGTTAACCCCGATGAAGATAAGCAAAGTCACTCAAGTGATGGAGTCACTGGCGAAAACAGTTTCATGACTTGATATGCCCTGAAACACAGTAAACTGTTGCGGTGGTATGATTATGGGAATTAAAGGCTGATGGGGGAGGGGTGGTTCCATGTTCCTTCCAGCTCCAGAAATCTGTAATACAAGTGGAAACCTGGCTCGGAGATATACGGGCTCCGGGACACAAAGAAATGTTCAAAGAAGAAAACAGAGAATTGTACGACACGCACATTCTCAGATCATCATGTGATAATTTTAGCAATAAATCAAAGCATAATTATAGCGCCAACCTCACAGAACCTTTAAAAAGCAAGTCTTTTTGAATAACATTTGAAATGAGTTAAACAGCTACATGGAGAATGGGCGAGGATGTTTATCTTAGCCAAGGAAAGGATGTGAATTAGGAAAAATACCCTGTCAATCAAATAAGTATTTTTTTTCTACACCAAAAAATCAAGTCAGTAAGAAGGTAGTTGAATAAGATAAACATTCATCCAATTAACTTACTCTCTCTCTCTCTCCCTCTCTCGTGCATGCTTGCTTCTGTGTGTGTGTGTGTGTGTGTGTGTGTGTGTGAGAGAGAGAGAGAGAGAGAGAGAGAGAGAGAGAGAGCAGCTTCCCATCATCCCATCACAAAGGAAGAGAGCCCTTAGCCTTGAAGAATTACCTCAACATAGCATAGAGTATTCCATGAACTCCTCAGAACAGTTTGAAAACCAGTTCTTCAATGGTCAGTTGGCTGGCTCAATGCCACTGTGTTATTAATCCAATGGAAGTCCCAAGACACAGAAAACCTGGGTACCAATGTGCTAAGAGTTAACAGGAAAGGTCAGGAAGTGACTTTGGGATCTGCTGGGGACAATGGACAGACATCGTCAACCATCATGGTAACCGGGAGTGTTTAGTTGGTGAGGACTATGAAGCTTGATGCTGGGAGGTGTCAGTCTTGGTCTACATGGAAAGTTTCACTCCAACTTTGCCTCGGACTAGCAGACACTGGTGAATCCCAGACCTTCCTGGAGTCTGCTAGCCAGACCATCTCTATGACTTATTATTTTAGGGCATCTAAAAACCATCACAACTGAGGAAAGGGGATGCAGTATCTAACTGGGGGAGGGGGGGTCAACTCTTCCTACAAAAAGGCCCTCAAAAGGAAGAAAAGGCACAGGGGACCATTCTACACACCTCCAGCTGAACACCTTCCAACCCAGCACAGAAGCTCCCTGTGCCTCGGGACCCCCTGCTTTTCATAGGAGCGTGTAGCCAGCACTATGGGGTTTCTGTAAGAGTTGAACATATACAGAGACAGATGATGTGTTAGTCTCTCGGAGGATAGGTAAGTGACTCCCCATTTCGTGGAAACATACATAAGTCTCAAGAAGGCACATGGGACATCACAATAAAGGGAAAAAAATGCAGAATGGCGTAATGCTGAGGGATGAAAAAGTGTGATGCTCAGAAGAGCTGAGAAAATGCATCTCCCCATCTCAGGAGGAAGCGTGTGCACAAACAGGTAATATGTCACCCTCCAAGGTGACCGAGAATCCTGCCTGCCTGAACCAGACTAGGGTAACCTGCAGCATCAAGAGGTTGCAAAAGCAGGAAAAGCTTCTTGTCATCCCATCCCAAGGGCAGGAAGCCCAGAATTCTCTCTCCTGTGACTCAAGTTCATCTGGGGACTGCAAGTCCTCATAGCTCTCTGGCCAGCATGATGGCATTGGAAAGTTAGACTAGGAATGCCTGTGGTGGGGCCGCTTTCTCCAGGGTCCAGCTGCGCCCCCCCCCCAATGCCCTGCATCCCAAGTTATACTCATTGCCACTCGTGATCTCTGGCTCACTAACTACCAGTGTCCGTCCTCCATCCTCCAAGGAGAGGTGATCAATAAAAGAGAAGCAGATGTGATCAGACATCAGGACCAAGAACCCCAAGAGCGTAATTAGGCTTCTAAAGATGGCCCTCTGGATAAGGGGGGGCGGGGAGGATGCAATGGGGGTGCTGAAGAGACAGCATTGGAAAGCTGCCTGGCGATTCAGAAGGAAACAGGGCTGGAGGGGGGGGCGGGAACGGGAAAACAGTCCAGGGGGGAGGGGAGACCAGAGTGCCAGGGGAAAGGAGAGGTATCCTTCTTGTCATTGGCTGGCCTGGGTGCTTCTGCATCTGAGCCAAGCAGTGTCCTTCCCACAGGCTGAAGAAGTCATGTACCAACCATCATCTCCCTTCTTTCTGTGTTTTGAAGGGGACAAGATTGATGCTGGTCACCTCACAGGACTGTCCTGTGTTTTGGAGACTCCAGGTAACGGGTTAAATGAAAGTAAGCTAAAAGAACCAGGAGGGGTCATGCCAACTTTGATAACAGATCAAAAAGAGATAGGAAGCAGGGACCAGAAAGGACAGAATGGCAGAAGGCTTATGTCCGGGAAGACCTTAGGGATGAGAAGTCCCAGAGCCACAAGAGAGGAAGGAGGGACATTTCCTTTGTGTTGTAACAGGACAGTTTTAAGTTTCCTTAAAGAGACAAGGAAACATTGAATTTAGTTTTTCATTACTCTGGCTATTAGAGCAGTCTTCTTTGAAAAGAGCTGCTTTACCCAGGACCTCAAGAATTATCTGGGTTATAGCCACACCAAACCCACTTCTTCATAGAGTATTTGTGGAAAGGAAGAGATAACAGACTAGAATTGAGAATTTAAAAAGAACCCCCCCCCGAATTTCTATGAATATAAGGAAGGCATTCTGACCCAATAGGCTCAGGTGAACACAGGGAAGGACTGGGATGCCGGGTAGTGAGAGCTAGAACTTGGTCCTGGACAGGACTCCGATGCCATAACCCTGAACACTTCCAGGTAGAAAATGAGTGACGGATGAGATCCCAGACTTCACCCAATGGCCAGTCTGAGCTTCCCTGGGAGATCTTAGGCGGTGTGTTTCAGAGGAATGAGCTGCTTGCCCTCCCTTGAGTGGGCACAGACTCTCACTGGCCGCTCCCAGCTCCTGCTCCCCACACCCACGCACTGCTCTTTAGATAGAACTCTAAGGTGCACCTGCCATTGTTCCCACAGAAAAGCATCTTAAGGCACAGCAGAAACTCCTGCTGTGCCTGGAGATGGAGTCTGAACCTCGCCTCACAGGCTCTGGGTGGGAAAAGATGTTCTAAGCACAGGCATGAGGAAAGAAATCCCCAAATCATTCCTCGTTCTAAATGACAAACAGTGGACCTCTGAGAAAAAAAGACAGAACGATATGGACTTAGAAGCTGGACCATCCAGCACAAAGCACTTGGGTATGGCTGTTGGGCTCTGGTCATGTGGGCTGGGTCTTTTCTGCCTTGCCATTTGCTGACCAGCTGAATTTACGGGCTCCTGGCTAATCTTGGGAGGTCTTTCTTGGCTAACGAGGACTATGGCCGTGGCTCCGGTGTGAGGGTCCTCTTCCCCTGGCAGAATGTGTACATGACATCTCAAGGTGGCTCACCTGTCACCTGTGCCACCAGCAAGCCCTTCTAGAGCCCAGGGGCCCTGGCAGCTGAGAGTCTGGCACACACACGTGTCCTGTCGCTGCTGCCATGAGCTCCTGCGGTGGCTTCTGGGCCACTTCCTTTCCTCCGCTAGCCTTTCAGAGGCTCCCTCCCCCCACAGGCCTCTTTCCCCAGGACTTCTACAGTTACTTTCTCCAACCCGCTCACGACTCTACTAGACTCATTAGTGAGCAGTCCTGGGAGTGTACGACATAAACTCTCCCATTCCCCACCTCATTCTGCAAGGGAATTAAGGTATCACTTGACGGTAGCCTGCCACACCATTCTCAGAATTCTCAGGGGCTCAGCTGCCTCCAGCTAAGTCCTAACTTCTTATCCCCCCATTTCCATCTCCTCAGTCAACCAGGCCTCCCGAGCCTCTAGTCCAAGCGCAGCCAGCTTACGGACTTCTGGATGCAAGCCGTCATGCTCCAGAATGCACTGGGTACCCTTTTAGTCCCTAAACTCCATTTATAGACACACAAACCGGCTAGACCCAAGGTCTCTTTCCCCCTGGTTCTTCCCTTTACCCTGGTTCTTTGAGCTCCATTTTACACTTCCGCCTCTTTCCAATGTGGAATTCCGAGTGTCTCCCTGCAAGTTTGAAATCGTGGGGTTTCCTTCGAGCAGTGGCTTGTGCACAGTCAACACTCAGTAAACGTTCCAATCTCGTTTCTATCTCGGTGTAAGCCCTCCTCCCTCCACACACACAGAATTCACAAACGCAGCCCTGTTTCCTAAGCCAGACCGGCTGTCTGCAGAAGCGCTTCCTCAATTTAAGAACTGTTCAAATCCCTGGAGACTGGTTAACAAACAGCGGCTGGTTCTGGTCTGGTAAGGGGTCTGGGGGCAATTTTATAAGTTCCCAGGTGTAGCTGGGATCCATTCACACCTGTTGATCAGCCTCAGAGGGTTCACTTGGTGCAACACCGGGCGCTCAGGTGGAGAACCCCAAGGCTGAGATGCTCGGTCCTGCCAGGGCCCAGGAAGGAGAGTTAACGAGTGACCAACTGGTTCGCTTACCTATGGTGGACACCACAGTGCCCACGAAGTAGAAGGCGCCCGTGAAGTCCCAGCGAGGGCGCACGCTGTCCATGCGGATGCCCGCCCTGGTGGCTTCCTCGTAGTGACGGAGGAAGCCTCGCAGCTCTTCCCGGCTCAGGTTGTGGCCGCGGCTGAAGTTGGCCAGGCGCTCTTCCCAGCGCTGCTTGGCCTGCAGCTCGTGCGCCAGCTCCAGCGCCGAGAATACAGCGGCGCCGCCCAGCAGGTAGAGCACGATGAGCCCCGCGAGCAGCAGGAAGCGCGCGTTGTCCTCATTCATGTGGCCCGGGCCACAGCCGCAACCGCGGCCAGCCATGGCACTGCAAGACAACCCCGCGAGGGCCACCGCCCGCGGACTCGTGCCCACGCCCTGGGAGGATCCGGCTCTACCGGCCCTTAGCCCGCTCCTCGTGCCGGCTCGCCCATGCCCGCTGCGCGCTCCCCCAGGCGGCGTGGATCCCCCGGCTGCCGCCCTGGCTGTTCCTGTGGCGCCAGCTCCCCACGTCCGCCTGGACTCGTGGTTTCGAATCCGCTTTGTCCCCGCCGCCTCCCCGTCCGCCCTGGAGTTCTCCTTAAGGCTGAAGATCAGAGCGTCGGGGGCGCAGAGTCTGCTTCGGCTCGGTACGAGGGTGCGGGCGCCTGGGACTCACCCGGCCTCCCGATCCTGCTCAGATTGGGGAGGGGGCGTGGCGCGCCTTCAAGGCAAACTCCAGAGAACTTGAACTCATCCTGCAGAAAAAGGCCGTGGGTTCAGACAGAACCGGCAGGTAAACTGAGCATCAAGGTCCGGCTTCCTTGGACCAGCGCTTTCCAAGCTGTGTCCGCTGTCTTCTGTGCCTCTTCAGGATGGATCTGCGGTGCGTATTGGTGACAGTGTCCCTCCGAGCCTCTATCCTCCTGAATCACCCGGGCTTAGAGGCTGGAACCGGTTTGGGGCAGGCACGGACGCAGGGACAGTGCGAAGAGACAGATCTGCCGCCGGCTCGGATGTCCGCCGCCGGGCACACGGGCTCCGCGGCAGCACGAGGGCGGACCGCTGTGGGAAGGAGAGCAGAGGGGGAGGTTGGAACTGTGAAGGAAGTTAGGAGCATCCTCCCAGGCAGCCTTCCTCGACTTCCCCCTAACCAGAGCGCTCTTGGCCTCTAGGCCCTTCACGGAGCGTTCTCGGTCGCCACGTGCCGGCCCTGCCAGCCCATCTCTCGGAGAACCGGCCAAGGACAGCGACCGAGAGAGTTCCATCTCTTCTACCTGGGCTTGACTGCCTCAGCTCCGTAGTTCTTGCGCAGTCAAGGGCTCTGCGCCCAGTGCTCCTAGCTACAGCATGCAAAGCCAGCAGCAAGGTTCTCCAGCGGACCGCTGGGGAACCCACCCAGAGATCCCCAATTTGCAACAGGCGCAGGAGCCGCCGCCGCGCTCGGGTCTCACTCACCCTTCTCCCCGCAAAACGCACCTGTTCTGTGGTATAGGTTCAGGATAGTCCCTGGCTCCCCTTCTCAAGAGGCTCTGCCCTGCCCAGTGGGGCTGGGAGCAGAGGTCCGTGTCCAGTGCTGCCTTCTCTGCGGGGCGTGCTCAAACATTGCAACAGGTGGAGCCCTGCAGCTGCCAACCGCGGCGACTCCACCCTGGTGCCCGCCTCTCGGCCCCAGGGCCAGTCTCCTGCGTTGGTCTCTGCCGGCGTTCGCCAGAAGCTCCGAAGGCCAACAACGCTGGCACCCGGGTGTGCAGATCCCTGGAGTGGTTGCTTAAGAGCAAGGTCGAGAGCCTCGATGGTCTGCGTGGGTCCCTCTGGGGCCAGAAGAGGGCGCTGAGTGCCCTTTAGACATACCTGGTCCCCAGCAGGCTATCCATTAATACACTGACTACTGCACAGGGGAGCGAATATATCTGCATGAAGGAATGGATTCTTAGCCACCCGCGATCTAAATAGAATTTCTCCGCCTATGGAGAGAGTGGTCCCAGGAGACCCACCCACGATACTCGCCAGAAACAGAACTAGAAAGACTTGCAGTTCTGTTGAGTAGATGCAAATTATTTTGATGAAAGTAACTCTGGCGATTCATCTTGCATTATGTCTCCTGGAGAGGAAGAACTTTAGCGGCGACTGAGTATGCACCCAGGGTGAGTATCTCAATTATCTTTGCTAGTTTAAGAAACATTTCAAGTACATAAAAATTGAATGAATTTCACAATGATACCACACACCAACACCTAGATTTACAAGTGATAATTTACTAGACTTGATAATATCTATCTGTTCCTTTCTATTCATCAACCCATTCAGTTAGGATGTGTTCTGAAAGGTTGAAGACATCCACACACTTTCACCCCATCTCCACCCAGTGCTGGTCATTATTAAGAGTTCCATATTCAGATTTTTGCTTTTGTGGTAAAATTTGCATACAATGACATGCAAATGTACCATGAGATGAGCTCTGACAAATATGTACATCTTTGGGGGTCAAACAATGGTCTACCTCCCTCATCATCTAAGTGCCAGCTGATCCAAGCTCCCACAAATATCTTTCCAGCAAATCCTTACCCACATTCCTGTAGAGGTAACCATGGGTCTGATTATTTTTGCTGCCATGGATTATTTTTTCTTTATAGAACTCGGTTTTGCCTATTCAGGTCTCCGGACTCATGAGAACCATCATCATGTGTCTTGTGTAAAGTGTGTTTCTGAAGCATATCCATGTTATATGTCCTAGTCATCATTTTATTTATTCTTCATTGTTTGGATAGGCCATAATTCTATTCATGCTTTGTGACAGAAACAAGGAATGTGAGAAAATTCCATTATCACAAATAAAACTGTTAGGAAACACGAATTCAATTTAAATAATAAAACTTAGTGACATTCCTGTCAATGGTTTGTGGATATGTTTCTTATCTTTTGGGCAAACACCTAGCAGAGAAGTGCTGAGTCATAGGTAAGGATGCAGTTAGTTCTGTTAGAAACTGCCTGACATCATTTCAAAGTAGCTCTACTAACTAAAAATGCAGTGTCCATATCCTTATAGACACTTGGCAGTACTGGCCATTTTAGTTTTAAGCCCACTGTATAACTGGCACATAAGCTTCTCTCATTGGGGTTTTGTATTTTCTGGAGATCTAGTGTATTGGGCATTTGTATCCCTTTGTAAATGGTGGGGATAGTTGGTCTTGGGGCTCGGAGGACGCTTCAGTCAGTCAAGTGTTCATCACCCAGGCATGATGACTGGAGTTCAGATCAACACACACATAACTCCAGGACAGGTGGGGACAGGTGGAGCTGACTAGCCACTCAGTCTCCCCAGCCAAATCAGTGAGCTCCAGGTTCAGTGAGAGTCACAAAAAAACATGATAGAGAGCAACTCAGATACCCAGCGTTGACCTGTGGTTTCCACATGCACACATGTACATTCACATACAACACACACACACACACACACACACACACACACACACACACACACACACACAAATTGATCCCTATTATTGAGGTGTAGTGTTTTATATATCTAGAATACCAGCCCTTTCTTAGACGTGTATTTTGCAATATTTTTTCATCTCTGTTATACCCTTTGGTTTTAAAAGATGTTTTCTGACCAAGTTTTTAGTTTTGGTAAAGTCCAGTTCTCCAGTCTGTAATGTTTGATATCCTTTGCCCATTAAGAAATTATTGCTGCTTTGCTGCTTTCAAGGTTATGTGTTTTGTCTCTCTCCTAGTTTGCATAGTTGGTCTGTGTGGTGTAGATCTAGTTTATTTCTTTACTGTGCAAATCAGACTTAAGGTTCATTTTGTTCAAAAGGCCATCCACCTTTTTCTAATGCTGCTTATTGACCAGGAAAGCAGGGATGCATTTGTTTCAGGAGTCTTTTCTTTTGTCCATTATCTATTTATCTAGCCGTTATGCCAATAAAAATCATTTAATTGATTTATAGGTCTTGAAGTCAAGAAATGCAAGGTTTCCAACTTAGCTCTTTTTCAATATTTCTTAGCATGTAATAAGTTGTTTCCATTTTAAAAATCAAAGAACTGTGGTTTTTAAGAGACATTTTTAACATAGACCCAGAAAAGTCTATGTTGTCTTGATTAGGACTGTGTGATCCTGTTGTGGGAAGAAGCAATATTTTGACCATTCATGAATGAGGTCTGTCTCTGTACACACACACACACACACACACACACACACACACACACACACACACACCCCTAGTTGCTATAGTAGAGATCATGCATATCTTTTTATGAATATATCCTAAAGAATTATTTTTGTTCTGATTGTTCTGTCTTTTCTTGTTTGCTGTTATATCCTAGAAACTTGTGCATTCATTCATTAGTTGCAATGGTCCCTTAGGAGCTTCTATGTAAATAACTGTCATCTGAAGCAGAGGTTTGCTTTCTCAACTTTTAAAAAAAAATCTTGTCTTATTGCAATATCTAAGAAATAATAAGACACAGAAGAGCTGGAAGCAGGTTATTTTTCTTGCTAAGATTTAAGAGGGAATCCTCTAGTTTGTTACTGCAGATACTGTGAGCTACGGGATTGCCATAGATCCCCTCCATCACCCCCTTCCCCAAGACAGGGTTTCTCTGTGTAGTCCTGGCTGTCTTGGAAAACCAGGCTGGTTTTGAACTCAGAGATCCTCCTGCCTCTGCCTCCTGAGTACTGGGATTAAAGGTATATGCCACCACTGCCTAGCCATAGTTGCTCTTTTTGAGGGTGAAAGCATTTCCTTTTTCCTTTATTTCTAGTTTTTGATGTTGTTGTTTTAAATAAAGCAGAAATGATTGAATTTTATCAGTGCTTTCTGTGACTACTTACATTTTTTCTTTATTCTGTTAATGTTGTATTTCATCAATATATTTTTAGTTAAGGATAAACTTTAAAAAAAGGACAAACATTTAAAACTTTGGCCTTTTTGAGATGAATTCTACTTGGGATTGCACTGCATTTTTATTTTTCTGCTTCTCCTTGCCCCCCCAGTTATGTATGTGTGTGCAAGATCACTGATTTTAGGCCCTTCCGTTTATTTTTTTTAATTTTTTAAAATTATTTTATTTTACAATACTATTCAGTTCTACATAACAGCCACAAACTCCCTTGTTCTCTCCCTTTCTGCCCCCCTCCCCTTCCCCCCAGCCCACCCCCCCATTCCCACCTCCTCCAGAGCAAGGCCTCCCCTGAGGACTGAGATTGACATGATAGACTCAGTCCAGGGAAGGTCCAGTCCCCTCCTCCCAGATTGAGCCAAGTGTCCCTGCATAAGTCCCAGGTTTCAAACAGTCAACTCATGCAATGAGCCCAGGACCTGGTACCACTGCCTAGATGCTTCCCAAACAGATCAAGCCAATCAACTGTCTCACCTATTCAGAGGGCCTGATCCAGCTGGGTTAGGCCCTTCCTTTTAAAGAGTATTTTAATATTCATAGGTACATATAATGTGTTCAGGTCAAATCAACTTCCATTCCCTTCTTCCCCTCCAATTTCTCCCCTATCCCTCCACCACTTTCCCTCTCAACTTCATGTGCTTTTACACACACGCGCACACACACACACACACGCACGCACGCACGCACGCACGCACGCACGCACGCACGCAGGCAGACAGAGACATAGAGACGCAGAGACAGAGAGGACCATTCAGAGGTGCCTGTATGTGCATGGTAGGGGACCGTGTACTAGATTAAGTAGCCCCAGGGACTCCATCCCTAAGAAAACAGACTTTCCTTCCTTTAGCAGCCCCAGCTGTCAGCAGCTCCTCGGACAGGGGTGGAACTTTGTGAAGCCCTCGTCCATCCAGGCTGGGATTTTGGCTGGCTTGTCTTGGTCTTGTGCATGTGGCCCCAGGCAGAACAAAAATAATTCTTTAGGATATATTCATAAAAAGATATGCAAGATCTCTGTACTATAGCAACTAGGGATGTGTGTGTGTGTGTGTGTGTGTGTGTGTATACAGAGACAGACCTCATGAGAGTTCATGGGTGCCACGGAGCCACCATGTTTGGCAAAGGCCATTTTCCTGCAGACATCTTTTCCCTCTGGCTCTTCACATCTTCCTAACCCCTCTTCTGTGATGGACTCTTTTTCACGAACATTTCTTCTATTTTAAAGCTGTGGGTTTTCCTGTTAGCTCAATGCTACCTGCACTATAAACATTGGGGGGGGGGTGTTACATTTTCATTATCTTTTGCTAAAATACTTTTCTTCTTTGGCTTGTGTGCCGTATACAAATATTTTGCTTAATTTTCATTTTGTAAAAATAAAAAAAAGTTATGTCTAACTTCTTTCATACGTAGTCAGACTTTTTTTAATGGTCTAGTCAGATGGCGCGCACACACCAAATGCTCTGGGAAGTTTGAATCTTCTGCAGCCGGTGGTGTGCAGGGTTCTGACTACATCAGCCTGGTCAAGGCATCTACGAGTGCTTTTTGGCTCATTTTTGTTGTTGTCCCAGTTAATTCTGTGGACTGGTGAAATGGGGTATTTAGAACTGCCGGCTATCCTGGTGTTGTTTCAAGCCTTTTGAAGCTGTAAGGAAACACACAGCATTTGTTCACTACAGCCTCTTCACGGAGCGGCGTTTTGTTTGTGTGAAATGTCTGCTGCGTGAACCATCTGCTCTGCGGAGGCCTTGTGTGATACCAATCCACTCACGACAGCCTTCTTCTGCCTGACATTTGCATACTATCGCTTCCAACCCGTCTGCTTTTAGCCGGTCTCTCTCTTTACCTATTTAGACCCTCCCCTCTACCTTTTCCTTCCTCACTAAC